CAATGTCATACCAGTATGAGAAATGACAAAACTGAAGATTTCTGTACTGTCTCCCCTTGGTGGTAGTGTTCTAGCTGTAACACTACATACTTATGTCTAAGACACCAAAGCACAGGTTACACTTCCAAAGTAAAATCCTATTTTTGAGAAAATAGTTATTTTTAAATCTTCTCTTCAAATATGTTTCCGGTTCTTTAAGATTTAAAAAAAAAGAATTTAGTCTTCAATGGGGGCTGTCATCTTCTTGTAAAAGTTCATACTGCAAAGATTTTTTACTTTTCTGAAGGTTTCCTTTTATCCCAGACTGCTCAAGATCCTCAGGACAGGCGCTGTCTCAGGACAATCTTGGTGTTCATTAGCAAAAGCAAATACTGTACCAGCACCAGTCCAGGATCCATCAGTGTTCATCAACGACAGAAAGCAACTATCGAGCACAATTTTCTCTTTTTATTACTGACCTGTTTTACTTTACAGCCCAGCACATAGATATACAGCAGGTCTCCACATCCTCCTGGGCTTGTGCCAATGGAGAAAGATCTGCAAAGTCTTTTACCCTCCCTGCTCATCTATGATTCATCCCACATAAGCCACTAGGGAAACCACAGATGGTCCCCATCATACTAAATGTTCATTTTGAAGCAAAAAGACAGGCACTGATTCACATGCTAAGTGCAAAAGCAGTCTTCTGCACTTAATGCTTAATTTAACATTCACATATTCATTGATTTAAGGATTTGGGGATTTCATTCTGCAAAGAAGGGAGAGAGAATGAAAAAATGCAAGCTCTGTGGCTGTTTTGTTGTTGTAGTTCTGCATTAAATATTCAGCATGGATTGACTTAAGTGCATTGGAATGCCTAATACAAAATGACCTGTACTTACATCTTTGGCCTGAGCAGTGTTTTAATGTCCAGACAACGTAACAGTACTAGTGTCTCCCATGAATGGTGGCAGGGTAAGTGTTTTTTAGGGAACCAGTCAAGCCTGAATTCAAATCCCTGGTGTGAAATGTCTTCTTAAACAAGGTCTATCTGTGGGGTTTGGGCAGGTCCCAAGAGAAGCTACCCTTCTTGGTACTGTACAAGAGAGAAAGTGTTTTTGTACACAGCACCAGTGCAACCCAAATAGTATATTTCTACAGACCATTCATGTACTGTATACCAACACGTTGTCTAGGCATTTATGCCTTTTTTTTTCCTCTACTTGACTCTACTTTTTATGCTACCAACAGCACATGAATTCTGATGTTCTGGCTATATTATTTAAAGCCAATAATCTGGTATTCACATACATTTTATATAATTAAATTTAGCCATAAAAAAACGACCATCTGAGCACGGTTGATAAGTTCATAGCAGTCGACAAGCTTTTTCTTACAAAGATCTCAGTCACGGTGTAACTGTGATAATACCCTGCAAACGTATGATGCCTGTGATGATCAAGAACGACCAAAAGAGGGAGACAAAGCAGCAGTTCAAAGATTCCTTTGTTAACAGCCTGGGGCTGATCATTGAAGGTAATGGATTGGGATACAGGGTGTGTATTGTTTCATCTGAAGAAGCTTTGTTTCTTTAATTGTTTCACCTTAAAGTCACGAACTGCCTCTGGATCTGGTGTATTTTCCTAGGTACCAGAGTAGCTCCTGTCCCACAGAAACATGAGTTTTAATAACAAATAATAAATGGTAGAGAATAGTCTACACAGCACCTATGATATGACAGAGGAATTATCTTGACATCTGTAAATATTCAAGTTTCAAGTTTGTCATTACACTCATATATATATGGTATAACAAAATGCTATTTAGCTAGCTCTCTGACATAAGTAGTACAAAGAGAAAAACAACAACAACAACAATACAATTGTGTAGCAAAAGAAAGAGACAACAGGCAGTGTGCAAAAAACAATAACGACGATGTGCAAATAAAACAGGCAATGTGCAAAACAACAAAAAGGTAACAGGTTATGTGCAAAAATATGCATCAACAGAATAAAATAAAGGGATAGAAATTATGGGGAGTGAGCTTTTGTATCAAAGGGTTACAAAATACAATTAATTACCTGCTACATTCAACCAAAATAAAATAATGCAAAACATACAGTGTTAAAACATGAACTCTTGAAACACCCTGTAAGGCATCGGCAAAATGCATTCAGTGGTATTGGTATAGCACTTTCTTACTTTTCAGTGCTTGACAGCTAAATCTGTGTACGTTGAAGATAAAAAAAAACCTTAAACTCCACACACTTTGTGCACTTCTGGTACGATGAGGTCTGATGTCCACCATTCCCAACATGCTTCTTAAGGGTTTAGGATGGGAGATAAATCAGGCTGAAGTTTTCATTAAGGAATTGGAAACAAACATTAAGACTTTAACAGGAAAAGCGTTTTGGGAAAGAAAAGTTGTCAGCAAATTCTCAATCGCCCTGCTCATGATCCATCTATCCATTTTCTAACCACTATCCAATTCAGGGTCACAGGAGAGTTGGAGCCTATCCCAGCAAGCAATGGGCACAAGGTGGAGTGCACCATGCTGGGACTCCAGTGCATCACAGGACACACAAACACGCATACACTCACGTATAGTTTACCAGAGGAAAACTATATAAACACAGAGAGAACATGCAACCTCCATGCAGGTAGCACAGCAGGAATTGAACTGAGGACACCAGCACTGTGAGGCAGCAATGTTAACCACTGCTTCACCCATATATTTAATAGTTTATATTTAAATTGCGAAATGCATTTAAGAAGATATTCAAATATCTCAGCTGGAAGAGAGGGAAAACTTAATTCTGAGAGAGATGTACAAATTTGAATTTTTTGGTCTAAATGCTGAATGTAACTGTGACAATTCTACAACTGTCTGGGCAGCTTGTGAAGCCAGACCACATGGAAAAACTACACTAAAAAAAAGACAATTGTGGAAAGGGTTTATTTTAGTAAACTCACCTCACACAAAAGAAACACCCAATCTAAAACCAAACTCTGTGAATCCCTTTTTATACCAAACCTAGGCTAAATGAAACCCCTGTGAGAATTTGGTTCTCACCATTAACCAATTATCTAATGAATTAACTACTTCACTAGATACGAATCATAACGTCCCCATTGTATACAATTTTATAAACTTTTATAAAAGAATGAACAATTAGCTCACCTTTTTATCTTCAATTTAATCACAAAAATGTGGAAAGAAAGATGAAAAAGAATTAAGAATTTGCAAAACCCACACATGCAACGAGTGTTTCACGGGAGCAACTGCCGTGCTCAACTTTCAGATTTCAGCCCGAAAAGCAATTCGGGCACTAATAGAGGAGAAATTCAACTTAGTGACAGCAAAGTTCACCATAATGCTTCACCTGGAGCTGAATGGTAAGAGAATCTTCTCAAAGAATTGAACGAAGTGGTTAGAAAATGGAAGAGTCTCTCATCCTGGCATTGGTGATGTACTGTACATGGCAAACCTTTGAGAGATCTGTAGCAGTTCACAGCAGTTTTTGTTAACCTCAGTCCTGGCTGTACGTATGGGAAGTGACCAGTGTGGGGTACAGAGGGGACTGTCTAAATAAATTCGGGTTTCCCTGTGTGCTCATGAGGTCTGCCAGTGTGCCTGTTCAATGCACTTGGGTCTCCACAGAGCAGCACATCTTGTTTCTGGAAGTAGCAGAGGAGATTGTCGAAGATTTCTTCACACCCTGCTTAAAATACTACTACTACTACTAATACAACTGAATACTTGCCACACTGACCTACTGACATACATGCTGATTGAAACACTAAAGGAAACAGTCTCACTGACTGTCTTACTGACACACTGACTGACTGACTGACTGACTGACTACCATGCTGGCATAACTGAGTGAGTGGCACTGTGACACACTGATACACTCACTGACACACTGCCACATCAACATATTTACTGAACCAGTAAAAATCAGTGACACACTAACAGATAAACTGATCCAAGAACTGATAAACTAACACACGGATACAAAAACTGACTAACACAACAAAAAATGATACATTAACTGCCTGTCACACACGTCTCCTACTTCATAATTTGATGTCCTTAAATTATACAACAGACACTTATTTAATGCTATTAAATTTGACGGTACTTTATTTTATTGTAAAGGTGATATGCTAAAACTGGTTACTGATGCTTTTAGAAACATCAAATATAGATATATTGTTATATATTAAGTTGTGTGTGAATGTTTTAACAAATGCAATGGCACAAAAAGACAAAGTTGACAAAAATATGAGATGAAACACCTTAATTCTTGCCCTTGCTCTTGACTATCAGCTGAAAACAGAAAGTGTGCTGAATTAATTATGGATGGGCTATAAATGTTTTTAATTAATTGACATGATCTGTGCACACCTTTGGATGGATTTATGAAGCAACAAACTCCTCCACCATAAAGCAATAATAAATGCATTTTTAACTTAATCTTTAATAAGACTTAAAATTAATACGATTGTCAATGTGTTGAGAATTGAACACAAATACTGAGATCTAGGAGAAGACAGAAGGTCCCCCTTACATGTGTACTTTTGTAACATTCCATACACGACTAGAAACTCGATAAACATGTAAATTGTTTATTGTCCTAAAATATATCATAACCTAAAGTAGCGAAAAACAAAAGAAAAGATTCTCCAAGCACTTTATGCATTCACTGCTAAACTGTTCTAAATTATATGAAATTAAATGCAGTTAAAGACCGCAGAAATGGTTACAACCTCCAGCAGACACAGTCTTAATTCATCGCTATTAAATATGCAACAAAATAGAGGGACAGTATATCCTGGTGCGCTATTGCCTGTTGTGCACTCTAGTTTAGCCAGTGTTCACTAGGGGGCATCAATACGATGTGGTATAGTTAAATGCTTGGAGAGGCGTGAAACAGAAACTTTTGGAAGTGAATTCTCATTGCCGGACGCAAACAAGAATCGTTTCCAAAAGGCAGTATCAGCCAAATATCGATTAAGACTGCCATTTACAGATGGAGTTACATACACGTCGATTGTACACATGATTTAAAGAACGCCTGGTCCTTGCTTTGAAAGTTTCGTTTTTTACAGAAATACTTTGGAAACCCCCCCACCACCACCCACAGGAGCGCTTTTAAGAGTCGGACGGGACCACCGGCTCCTCCTAGTAAAAGAACAGGCGGCGGACGCCCCCCGGAAACCTCGCTCCTCCTCGGGAAGCGTTGGCAGGCAACTGGCACGGAGGCTCTCGCGCCTGCAGGGCGCATGTGTCGACCGGGTAAGGAAGCGGCCAGCGTGAGACAGCGAGGGGGGGGGGGCGGAGGCTGGGAAAGCAGCTTCGCGATACAGTCCGGGGATCTGCTGGAGGGGGAGCTGCCATCAGCGCGCAGATTCACCGAATTGGACCGTATTTCAGCTTCTCTCACCTGCCTTATCATGTAAAACTGCATTGACGAGTTAAGGATACTCTTCTGGGCTGGGGTTGTCAGCTCGGAAGGTCTCACTCCCACTGCAAAAAGAATCATCCTGGGTGTTTTTCAGGATCTTTCATGACGAGAGTACGACTGCTGCCAGGTTGGTATTAATTGAGCCGCTAATTTACATTAGATGCTGCGGTACTGTGTGCGCGAACTGGCACCGTACGTGCATACGGTGCCACACAACTGCGTGTTGAGCTTTTTAACTCCAGAATGAGTAAAGACGAGAAAAAAAACCTGTAAAGAACCTGGTGGAAGTGAACCGTAATTTCATTAGCTTTTAAAGAATCAGCAGGCATTTTAAAGATAATGCCTGCATCAATTGCAGACTTTAAGATCAGTAGCTTGAAGAATGTTATTGTGCAGTGGGAATATACTTGTATACACTGTGAAGTAGCGCACAGTTATGAGCTAGTTTATTGTCAAAGAAAATGTTTAACTTCTGCGTGGGGGAAGTTAACTTGTTTTACTAGTTGGTATGTTTTTTGTGACCGGTCTTCATGTGACATTTTATTCAGCAGCTTTGGTTTTGAAGGCATTGTCAAATTGTCTTAAACTTTTCCGGGTTTTAGCATGCTATGATAATAAGTGCGTTTTTCTGAGGTATGTTAACCGTGGGATATTTAATCACGAGGGAGACTAAAATCACGGACGCAAGTTAGTTGATTTGCTTACTTGTGGCTCTAGGATAGAAATCGTTTGTACTTATTTGCTTAAGGATAGTGGCAACGAAAGAACCATTTAAATTCACACATACATATTGCTGTTTATCTAGTAATTTTTACTTGAACGTTGCAAAATACCTAAGCTGGTGTAATTCTAATGTAACCCAGTGGAGTCAATAACTGTATCGTACAATTTAGGCATTTACAGTATGTTTCTTTATGGACTTGTGCTTGAGAGAGGCATAGTCTATATTTTAATACATTTTGCATGAGAAAGACAATGTTATTTGTGCAGCACGTATGAAATTAAATCAAATTGATCGGAAGCGGTCAGCATTAATTATACAGTTTTTTTCATAGCCTACAATATGATTGACGAAAGGTCAACGTTTTGCATCAGAAACGGTCAACAGCGCGACCACTTAAAGAGATAAACAGTAGTGTACGACCTGAATGTAAAATGAACATTACCGTGCATTTGCAAACAAATTACTACGATTTTGAACATGGAGTTGTGTTCTATTATAACAGTGTATCTGCATTTTCTTGATTTGAGTTCTGCATGATTCTTTTCAAACTTAACAACTGTCTAAAACTGAAGAGCTTTATGATTATGGAGTGCACAATTTAATTAGTCCATAAGAATATATAAGTACTTCGTGCGTGTAATTGCACCAGTTTCGGTTTTTAAAACCATTTTTAGAGAGAAGCAAATTGACCAGCGAGCAATCTGATAGCCAGCATTTTTCAGTGATGTCATTAGTTTGGAATGCAAACTACTTTTCAGGCATCTCCCATTTTTTGGAGTTTGTCCACTGGTCGTTGTACTTTCTTTTGCCAGTGCGTCGATATTGAGGTGATGGAAGTGCTTGATGTCACATTTTGTTGACTCAAAACACACGAATCGAATTGTAAAGGGAAAAGTCGTTCAAGTGTCTGGCTAGCAGTTCCTCTTCTTCGAAATCTGCATTGGCGGTGCTCTCACTTTATTGCCAATAAAATAGTCTGGGCCTATACGGTATATCTGCTTAACCAAAATGTGAATGGTCAGTATAATTTCCCAGGAAAAGGAGCAAGCTTGCTAAATGATTAGTACAGAAGTTTTACAGCTCCCTCTGTTGACTCTATCGGCTGTCCTCCACGTTACGTTCTGACCCGACCGCGGCATGATTAAGCGATTGCATTTTCTACAAATTGCAGCAGTCTGTGGAATCATTTTGACACTTTCAGTCCTACATCCTCGTGTTTGACCAATGACATTCTTTTTTTTTTGGTTTTGGCATAATTTGTCTTTTTTTAACTATATAAGGAAATTGCTGCGAACTCTGTAGGTGAGTTCCACGTGATGCCATGCTTATATAAGTAAGGAGAAAAAGGGGGTTTTGTTCTTTGCAATACGTGGAATAAATGTAGCCAACCACGCCTAAAACATTCACTTGTAAGAATTCACCTTAAGCCAATTCATGTCTGCAATTCCGCAGTTTTTATATTCCTATATTAACGAACAATTATTCGTGCATTCCATTAGCGCTCTGTGCAACTAAGTTAATTGCTGTCCTGTAAGGACTTGAAATGTTGCAGTTGTTCAGAGACTGAATTAAAACACGAAAAGTACATTTTTTTCTGTACAATTTGGACAAGTACCACCTGGCAGCAGTTTTTTATAGAAACCAAAAGCTGCATTTACCATTAATGTGATATAATAAAAGTGTGGTGCAGTGGTTAGCATTACTCTCTCTCAGTGCTGGGGCACGAGGTTCGATTATAGATCTATCTGTGTGGAGTTTGTATGTTCTCCCTGTGTTTGGGTGGGTTCCCTCTGGGGGCTCTGGTTTCCTCCTACACTCCGAAGACATGCTGGCAGGTTATGTGGCTTCTGGGATAATGAGCATGTTTGGATTTGTGTCTGTGTGTGTAATTGTGATGGAGTGGGGTCCTGTCCAGGGTGTACCCCACATTGTGCCCCTTACTGGGATAGGCTCTGGTTCCCCTGCAACCCTGAACTGGAAGAAGCAATTAGAAAACGGATGGATAATAATATAGTGAAAATCTAAGGAAAAGAAAATATTTGTATGTGTGTTTGGGGAATATCAAGACAGGGCGAAAAACCTTCACTTGCCAACCACTGGAAATTCCTTGCGCTTGCTGGAGATATTCCACTGGGAATAAGGAAGAATTCCCTAGCACAAAGAAGTTTAGTATTAGGGATATTGGATTTTGTATTAGTGGACTGAGATGAGATTCTGATATTAACTACAGGAGCTTGTGATACAGGAGTCCGATTTCACAGCAACAACAACAAAAAAAGGTCTAGTCAGGACAAGTTAATTTTTGTTGTGCAAAAGCTTAATCTTTTTTTTTTGGATTAGATTTTGGCCTGTTTGGATTCCAGTGAATTCACAAGGTACTAGAATTGAAGATCTTGGGATTTCTAGCTTGTCAGGTCTTGAGCCTCACATACTGTAGTTTGGCTCATAATGTTCCTGATGTTTTGCAGCACATCCAAAAAATGTCAAGTTTTCCCTTGGAAAAAAACAATAAATGAGCTTCCACAGCATTTTTTTGGCATATACTTACTGCTTTATCTTCAGCAAATCCACAAACTGATCTTATAGTTGAGCCATTTTAAATAGAATTTCTTAACATCTGCAAGTTTTCCTTCCTTAATAGTGGTAGTGGAAGTAGTTTATCATGACACTGCTGAACTCAAGCACCTATTTGCTTTCCAGCACAAACCTATGTTGAAAATATTTTATTTGGATGTTTTCTGTATGTGCAAATCAGCCATGTTGTTTCTGCACAGAAGCTCAAAATCTTAGATATGAGAGAGGAAATAAATTCTCCACCGCCTCATAGCATGCTATGTATAGATGAAAGAACAGGCAAGTTACAATTTATTTCCTTCTGATATAATCTAGCAAAAGCTAGCTTTTTTAGCATTTAGTCAATAACCACAGAAAAACAGAAGTACAACTCACTGGGTTTAACCTTTTTTTTGTGGCATTTTCATCTATGCTATGTTTTCAAGTTACATACATTTTTGGCATAGTTGTGTTACACTTGAATAATAATAATAATAATAATAATAATAGCTTACACTTATAGAGCACTTTTCTGGACACTCCACTCAAAGCCCTTTACAGGTAATGGGGATCCCCTCCACCACCACCAATGTGCAGCATCCACCTGGATGATGCACCAGTCCACTCCCCACACACCAGTTCTCAGTGGAGAGGAGAGCAGAGTGATGGAGCCAGTTCATAGATGGGGATTATTAGGAGGGCATGATTGGTAAGGACCAATGGGAAATGTGGCTAGTCACTGGGGTTACACCTCTACTCTTTACAAGAAACACCGTGGGATTTTTAATGACCACAGAGAGTCAGGACCCCGGTTTTACATCTCATCTGAAGGACAGCACCTGTTTACAGTATAGTGTCCCCATCACTATACTGGGCATTAGGACCCACATGGACCACAGGGTGAGCACCCCCTGCTGGCCCCACTAACACCTCTTCCACCACCACCAATGTGCAGCCCCACCTGGATGATGCGAGGGCAGCCATAGTGTGCCAGAACGCTCACCACACATCAGCTATCAGTGGGGAGCAGAGCAGAGTAATGATGCCAATTCATAGATGGGGATTATTAGGAGGCCATGATTGGTAAGGGCCAATGGGAAATTTGGCCAGGACACCTGGGTTACACCTCTACTGTTTTTGAGAAACTCCCTGGGATTTTGAATGATTGCAAAACCTTGTGCTAGTAAAGCAAACAATTCAGTGATCATTAAGCAAGTTTTGTTTAGACCGCATTCCTGATTTTACTGGTCCTACGTAGAGCACATCTGTTTCCACAAACAAAATCATTTCACTTCCGTTCATCTCTGTGCAAATTTGGGGATTGTACAAGACTGCTTGTGTGCTTGATATAATAGTTTTCTGATGATGAAAAACCCACAATCCTCCAACATCAAAGCCCAGAATAAACCAGAAACAGATCCACAAACAGTGGCTCAGTTTGTTCTTTAGTATTATGGAAGTTGTTAGTCTAGAAATGTTGCAAACCAGATCAAAACTGTATAAAAATTTGAATTACTGTGTCAGTTCTGCTTGAATAAATGTTGAACGTTTTTC